GTATAGAAAAAATTGTGTACATATTTTCATTGCAAGTATGTCAAATTTTGAGTTGGCCAGAAAATATGAGGGTGAAAGAGAAGGAAAGCAGATTTGAGGAATGTTGTTAGTCGCCAACACTCGAGTGAGATGATTTATTGAGGGGATCATTATAATGGACCAATGATAGGTCCTCTGATTCAGCTTTCTTCGCTTCATGTGTTTTTGTTGTATTCATGCTTGTGGAGCCTTCTTCTGTATGGACTAGAAATTTTTAATGGTCTTTATGTATGTCATCCCATAATTGGTGTGCTAAAAACCGTACCAGTATTGCCTTCAGGGGCATGAAAAAGAGGTGGCCAAGGGCTTAAGCAAATTTTACCAAAACTGGACAGAAGAATCCAAGTTGATTATTTTTTGTCAGTTTTCATTTTTCAACCTTCTTATGTACCTTTTACAGAGATTGATTTCAGCCATATCTCATCAATTCAAACAACCATCCCAGCCTAATCAGATCCCATCAATACAAGTTTACTTTCTTTCATGGTCTTTCTGTTATTTCAACAATCTCAACTGCATTTTACAGACCATGGCACCTGAAAATCACCATCATCCATAAATTTGGACAATATGCTAACACAATCCAATAGGACAAACGACATGTTTGTTGACACAAAGACAAGAGCTTTTTTTTTTGGTCGAATCAGTTAATCCTTTCATTATGAAAATGATCGCAAAACATGATCAGAAACTTATACAACGAAATGGAAGATCCCAACATGGGTCTCCAAATCAAGTAAATTTATGGATAATCTATGGTGCAATGTCAGCAAAAAAAACTTAATATCAGCCAAAAACTCCTTCTGTCCATGCAAAGATCCTTCTTCAACATGATAGAATAGCAAGGCTTCCCTTCCGATCAGAAACCACAACATTGCCCACGTCCATAAGTTATCATAAAATTTGTCCTTCCAACAACAATTGGTTCATTCTTCAGAAATCCACATACATAAATATGATAGCATGTTCACTTGATAAGAATAAGAGGATCCATTTTGGAACCATTTTTCAAAATGAACTGTCTATATACGTATTGGAACATTAGCCTTATTCGTATAGTGAGGCGTTGGTATATTTGGTTTTAAACGAATCATATACTTATTCCAGCGAGCGAGAGTGGTACCTTAGGTATCTGTTTCAGGGAAAGTGAGAGAGCCAACGGGAGGTCACCACAGGCAAGAGTTCGTCACTGCTTAGAACTTGGTTTCCACAATTGTACTAGGGACGACACAAAACGAGCCTGAAGAACCACTGGGAGAGGCGATTCTATTCTTCTCTGACTTGTGAGCATCTTCTACCTTGCTGGCGGCACTATTCGATGGAGACAAAGGCCCGCGACGACGATGAATTTCGTCGCCTCTATCAAATTAGAATAAGTGTAGGAGGAAACAAATGTTGAACCTAGAGATGGGATCGACGAAGGACAAGTCTCTTTTGGTTCGTTTGGTCGATCCCTGTTTCATGTTCTCTTTGACCTCCCCCGTTTTTCAGTTTTCTGATTCTGCCGAAGAATAAAACTAATATCATTTGGATTAATTTTATTTAATAAAATAAATAAATAGACTAATGGGAATGGCTCTCTGTTACTTTGAGAAACACGGTTTGGATCACTTCTGCTGGGCCGGATGGATTGGACTAGGATTTAATAAATCGCCATGTCATAGCCACATGGACCAATTAGAAAGTGCTTTATTGGTGCCGCACTTTTTACACCGGCGCCGAAGTATTAGCTCTTTTCACTCCTACCAACAAAATACACTAATGAAAAACAAATATTAATATTTCATATGTAAACACGTTTCTGAAACAAAATATACAAAATGTGCCCACAACAAAAAAAATATAATGAAAAGCTAATTTTAAACACAAACAAAATATAAAAAAGTCCATTGCAAAGCCCAATTTAATTGAATTATATATATAAAAAATATATTAGTAAAAATAATATGGTTGAAAATTTCTCACACCACTCCATACAAAAAAAATTCTACACCACAAAAGTCCATAACTCCAATAGCACCGCCCACATGATAAGTCAATTTAAAACCAAAAGCTTAGTGAACAGTAAAATGGTTTTAACTTTATATATTATTAATTTAGCACGCAAGCCACCAATCCTAACAAAACAATAAAGAGATTCCAGCCCGCAACACCTTTAGATTCTGTTTTCCTGCGCCCTGCGCAATTCACGGGAGGCTATATTGGTAAAATGGATCCGTTTCCGTTCGATTGAGATGGGCCGCCGGTAGACAACGAATGGGCCCTCCCTCAAGGTGCATTCCAGCTCCTAATACCAGCAACGTCGTCCTCTCTCCCGCCCGCCGCCTCTTTCGCTGACGGTCGGAACCTAACACAAGCAACGTCTCCCTCTCTCCTAATTGGCGGTGTCTATCTCTCTCTTCCTGTCTTTCCCGTCTGCCTCCTCTGTCGTTGTCGGTCAGTCCATAGTGAGAGTGCTCTTTCTAATTTGGTTGAGTTCCAGGCAAACAAACCGTTGTTTTCGGCGGAAGAAAGGACAACGAATCGAAGCTAATCGGTCGGCCTCCTGTCATAATTGGTGAGTTGCTCCCTTCGGCTGCTGACTGATTGTATTCAATTTCATAAATCAATGTTTTAAACACACCCCAATGTGTAACTCATTAGACTTTCTGAAAAAGGATAATCGTCAGGAATTTGGTCTATGATAATGTGTAATGCTTTAACATTGGAAGTTGTTTCCTCTGAGAGACTTGAAGAAGGCTATCATAGGGCATCACCAGAGTAGTCTACTCTCTTCAACGACATCTCCAGTTTCAGATTACGAAACCCTGCTTTTCGCCGAATCAACAGATGAGCATATTATCCAAATGTAGCAAAACTCAGATGCACTGAGAGCATGAATGCTTACCGATAATTGAACGGCAGCTGGAAACTGAGTGCTCTTTCTAATTTATTATTGTTAGTGGCATGTTTATCAATTGAATTCATTATATTTGCTCTTAGTTCGTAGCTTATCATCATTACACATCATTCATTTAATTGCTAGGAATTTATTGCAGGGGTAGTTTTTATTATTATTATTATGGAAGAGAGGCAATATAATAGACAAAATCTACAGTCAAGAAGCAAAAGACCATTAGAAAATTCATAAGGTGTGAATTGCAGGCCACATCGAGGATGATACATCTTCGTTATATCAGCAAAACCTATCCTCATGCCAATATTAAAGTGGAGGAGTCTGGACTTCACATGATTCTTAGTACTGGAGAATTTCAGATGAATAGAATTAGCAAAGACCTTTTTCAGTTTTGTTGTGATTCTGAAGTAGAAATCAAGGAACCCAATTGGGTTGCCATGTTCAAGACGTTTGAGCCTTCAAAGTCTCTTGCACTTGCTTTATGTGTCATTACGTGTCCTAGCTCTGTGTTGGCTTGTTATGTTCAAGACGTTACATTGTCCCAGCTCTGTGGTTCAGACTTCAGAGATGGCTATTGACAGTTGATCATATCTCTCATTTTTTTTGTAGCTTAAAATTGTGAATTATCGACTCAAAGTTTGAAACATCCCTTGAGCTAATCCAATTAATCAGAGTCGACACCACCCGAAGACAACAACATTAGCACTTGAGTGACGTCGCTCTGACTCCGATTCTGCTCCACCTTCTTCCGCCACTCGTAGACAAATAAGTGAATAACAGAAGGTACACAACTGTAATCCTTTTTTTAGAAAATCGGATTAAAAAACCTTTAATATATTAAGCGATTCGCCAAGTTTTAATATATATAAAGAACATCCTTATAGTATTGTTAGAATAATTTCAATTGATGAGTTATGAAATCTTATAACTCAAATATATATGTATATATATATCCTTATAACTCAAAATACTTTTATATATATATATGATAATGACTGGTGTACCTCAGGTGTATAGCATATTATACATGTTATACCTTTTATAAACTCATTTATGATATACTTAGCTCAGACGATGAAAGTGATCTAGGTACTTGATCATATTATATTGGTCTTTGTAATTATTCTGTGTTTATGGTGGCTGTAATGTGAAGAATGAAGGGTTATTAGGACCCAAATCTAGGCAGACACACAAAGAGTGTTTCTTCTTTCTTAATCATGCCTCTCTCTATCTCATTATTTGTGCATTATTACTATCCCTTCTCTATAAGTGGTTGTCAAGTTTTCCTTTAACATTCATCTTGTTCAGTACTTGCTTGCATTGGTTACTGAAGGCAAATCTCATGTTCTTTTTTGAAGTTCTATGCCTCAAAGAAGAAGTATTCCCATGGGAAGTCATCGACATTCTCAAAAAATGAGTCAATTCGATCATTAAAAATTAAATGTAAGTACAAATATTGCTCTTAGCATAATAATATAGATTTGCAATTTAATATGTTTCATTTCACGTGTTATTCATGGCATAAGAGAGCTTTTTTTACCAACAGAAGGTGTAGTGGATTCTAATCAGTCTCCATCTGAAGCACAAAATAAAATTTCCGATGGTATGATTATCGATTGAATGTTTTTTGCCATAACGAAGTATCAATGAATTAAGAACTGATATAATCTCTTTAACTATTTCACTATGGTTAAACTTACAAAATCATTACTCTTCAATGTACATTTTAGAAATTCATGCACATAAGTCAGAGTTGAAGAGAATTAATCATCCGTTGACCAAATTAGCAAGAAGAAAACGTGTTATTTATATAAGGAAGAAGCGTATATATGGCAGAATGATGAACATTCCTACTGATAATCCATTTGTTCCATGTTTGTTTTCGATTTATTTGTTATCAGTTTAATGTGTTAGCTGTTGTGATTAATTTTTTTAACTAATTCCTACCGGTAGTGATATTTGGGTGCAAATTCCCAAAATCCTAATCAATGACTTCCAGCCCCTCTTTCGGGACCAGAGAGTCTACACTATCATGAACTTTAAGGTCACTATGACAACGGGAGACTACAGGTCAATTTTAAACAGATCCGTCATCAAGTTCCTGTCAAATACTGAGGCCCATGCTTGCGATGACATTCCATCCATACCTGCTTACAAGTTCAATTTCATCAAACAAGATGAGATTGCCAAGAAGTGCAACCAAAGGAAATACCTATGAGGTTCAACATACCATTCTCAATGCAAATTACAACCTTATGCATGTGCAACAAAAAGTACTAACTTTCAAATGTTTGCATTCGACAGATGTTGTTGGCCAGCTTATTCAGTGTTATGCTTTGCTTACAACTACAAAACTGACTGGAAAAGTTACATGCTAAGAGCTACAATTGAAACTTCCAGAGTATGTATTTCTTTTACCTTTCCCTTTCAAAATTCAAATAACATACATTACTTTATTTCTAAGTGCAAATCTAATACATAATTTGGGTACAGGGGATTGGTTGTCAATGTAACTCTCTTTGGTAGGATAGTCACCCAATTTAATGCCATTCTTGCAAGTGTTGGCAATCGTCCTCTCATCCTAGTCATTACATCATTATACGTCGCTGATTTCTATGGTAAACACACAAATTAATTACTTTCATATCAATTAATATAATTCATATAAACTAAACACTTAATTAACTTACCGTCACATTTGTCGTTGAGAACACATTCTCCTCAAGCGGAGCGACCTTACTGCTGGCTGATCAACAAATTCCTGAAGTCATTAATTTTGCACCAAGGTAAAACTCGCGAAATCTTTGTCATCGTATCGTTGTGCATTTTAAGTTACAAGCTTATAACATATTAATTACCTATCTTTTTGGTGAATAAAGTGGGGGTGATGTGCCAGCTCCGCCAGTGAAGGAACAGAAAAACAACAAAAGTTAGTTCCACTGAAAACAATAGATGAGCTTAATATATTGAAGATGAACGAGGGAGAGGAGGTCAGTACCAGTTTCAATTCAACAACCTAATGATTATCAATCGCTAACACTACATATAAAATGCAGGGAAATATGTATTCTGTCATATGCAAAGTTCTCAAGGTTAAGAATGGGTGGTGCTATGCTGGATGTCAAAAATGTCCACAAAAACTCGAAGAAGATTCGGATGAGTACTTCTGTGGGAATTGTATGACAACATTAAAGACCACAACAGCCAGGTAATTCGATGATTGTTAATGTCAATTTTAGTTTCATGTATTTCATCACTTGATATACTGGTAACGTGGTTGGATACATGATTAACTACATCATAGTTTATGTTCCTTTTTTAATTTCATCGATATAGCAACGTGGTTGGTGATTTAATTTGCTCCAACATGGTTTTTATTCAGTTATTTTTGGCTTACATATATTAATTCCACGGCCTCACCACTCCTACGATTTTTCTTCTTCTTTAATTACGTCATTACAATCATAGATTCAGGATCCACCTCTGAGCTACGGACACAACAAATGCAGCTGACTTTGTTATTATGGATGGAGTTGCCGATCGATTTTTTTGCATATCCGCTGAAAAACTTTTCCAAGACAACGATCAAATGAGAGGACCACCACCATAATCTCCTACAAATTGAAGGGATGATGTTGAAGTTCTTCATCAAGCTCATTGGTTACAACATCGCTAACCCTACAAGCGAATACACAATTATCAAGATAGTGAAGGATGAGGAAAACTCCAACTCAAAATCTCAAATGATCTGCCAATATTGATCGAGGTATGTCCAAGTAACGTCAAAATGTCATTTACAACACTTTCCAATACTTAAGACTTTGATTTTGCAATTCATATGATTCTATGACTGTTATATCTATTACTAGAACTTCTATTTATTGAATCATAATTACCATGCACTTTCCATTACGTGAGTTTGATTTTGAAATGTATATAATTATACTACTGTTATATATATATTAGTGGAACTTTTCTTCATTAATACAATCACAAGCCATTGCAGGAGGAAAAAAGTAGACCCTGCTAATGGTGTACCCGCTGTCGTTGATGGTGCTGAGAATAAGTAAGATATTGCTTATGAGACGGAGGTAAATATTACACGATGAGATAATTTACTTTTACTTGCACAATAATTATAATACCTAAAATTTGTGCTAAATATATTGCATAAAAATGAGGAAGAAACTCCCCAAACGCAAGAGAAGGAGGTGTCAACATATAATGGAGCACAATGCGACACCAATGGCGACAAAGCAACTACTATGGATGGACGTACTGATGTTGTCGATGGAGTAGGAACTGAAAAGAAACAGAAAAAACGAAAACATGGAGTGGTCTCCAACGATAAGGAGTAAATATAAGGATTCTTTTAAAATAATTTTAGGAGTCGGTTCCTTTTCATGGGTGTTGCTTTCATTTTTCGTATGAGGATTTAGTCGTTCAGGATGTCTGTTGAACTATTTTATTCTCTTCTTATATTTATGGTTGAAGAGGATGTCGGTTGAACTATTTTCTTCTCTCTTCATTTTGTAATGGTTTTGGTTCTATGTTGTTGTTTTTCTTGAATGAAAGGCGATGTTTGTTCTTCCTCTCAGGTTTCTCTCGAGGCAACGACGGAAGTCAATTATTAGTCACTGTTGGCTGATGATGACGTACCCGATGATGAGGCATCCGAGCTAAAGGTCTCGATACCTGGTGCAAGGAAAGGGAGGAAATGGAGTAAAGCGAGTAGGAGAGCAGCTAGACTACATGCGGCCAAAGATGCTGCTCCAGTGAAAGTAGAGATTTTGGAGGTAGGGGAGAAAGGCATGGAAGTGGAGTAACTAGCCTTCAATTTCGCCATCAGTGAAGGTGATGTTCTCGGTTATCTATACTCAAAGGGAATTAAACCTGATGGGATGTCGGGTCACCATGACCACGGGAAAACAACGTTACTGCTTGACCCGTTGCTCTGATACCATGAGAAAAATAATCAAGTATTGAGACCGAGACACGATCATTTACGTGATATCTCCAATTTTACGATCGGGAAAAATCCACGAGAGAGTTCAGAGTTTCAAAATTTCATTCGACCACAGCCTGATATGATTTATAAATGAATCCGGCCAACCGGCCGGACAAGTGACTAGTAAGCATTTGTAGTTTTGTACGGTTTAACTTTATTGCAAACAACACACGCCGTGCACACCCAACCAAACCAACCCACCACGAAGGTCCAACACCTTAAATGGAACGTCCCTGCTATGCTACTGGTGTTTACGCTTAAGCGCGGCAAACAAAGTGAAGGCTTCACCAGAGTTGTCGCCTTGAAAGAAGCCACAAGTCAGGAGCTTGTGTTCATAAGAGCGGAAGAGCTCATCCATTGGGAACACGGTTTGGCGGTCGCCATCACCATCATCTCCAAAGTGAAGCTTGAGAAGCTCTTCCATTCCAGCTCTGATGTGGGCTGAAATTGCCCTTGCTTTCGATTCAGCAGTACCAGGACCTCTGCCTTGTTTGATGCACTCCATAGTTACGATCCCAAAACTTCCATTCGCTTCCACTGCTGCTTCCACTTCCTCTGGCGAAGCAAAGTATATTGGGATGTTCAAACTGTCGACTTTCCCCTCGCTTATCAGACCCTGCAATGGACAAAGAAAGAGAGATGGTAATTGCTACTTTTTTTTGTGCTTCACATCACAGACATAACAGCTTGTGCTATAAAAGAAAATCAGTAGTGTACTTACTTTGTGAGCCATGTCCATGAGGCAAGAACCCAGGAGACTGTAGGTAACATTGGAAGTGACCTTAGAATGAGAGGTCTCATTAGACCTTCCAGGGATCACAACCAACATCAACCCACCACCAACAACTTCGCTTGCCCTGGCATTCAAGAAGCAACCCAAATCCATCCCAAACTGCTCCTTGTAAGCTCCCACTATCGACTCCTCTTTACCACCACCAGTAGCCCCAGAGCAGTAACATATCTCCCCTTTGTTCCAGGCAGGGGAATTGCAGTCCAGAACCGAGTTTGGGACCCGGGAAAGCCACTGCAGGGCGTAGGAAGAGTGGACCACGTGGAGGGAAGCAGCGGGGAAGAGGCGACCGTGGAACGAACCGGGCACCCCGGCGACGTAGTAGGAATCCTGATGGGGCACGGATTGGGCAAAGAGGGTGTTGAAATCGTTCGACGTGTGGTCGTTGAGGAAGACTTGGTACTCGATGGAATCGTTGGCCATCTTGCAGCGGAGGGACTGGAGTATGTTTTGCAGGGAGAGGAATGTGTTCGGTCCCACTGAGCAGCCCATGTCTCCTACTCGAATCGTCGTCGTGTTGTTGGAAGCGAACGAGACGTTGTTGTCGACGATGGCTGTGTTCGTCATTTGCTTTATGGCATCTGCCGGCCCTCTCTATACGGGACCAAAAGAAAAAAAGAGTAGGGTGAAGAGGGAATGGGGCTGGCTGACTGTAAAGTAAACGAATATTGTGATGAAGAAAGGGAAGGGAACTGGTAGTACCTGAAATTTGGAGTTGTTGGTGTAGCTATGGAGCCCATTTCCTCCGTTCATGGGGTAAGAAGTGCCAGTGGCGGCCATTTTGGCAGTTCTTCTAATTCACTAATCCTGTTGCTTGCTGCCATATTTTTCTTATGCAATTTTCAGTCCATTATGTAAAGACAGAGTACGGTACGACTAGATTATTATAAATTATACACTTCTTTCATTACATATAAATAAACATATGGCTTGCCCTACCAACCATGTACGTTTCTCCTGTTCTTTTAACATTTTCAGTACGGATTTACCACTTGCTATATACTGATAAGCCAACCACGCTTCTTTCTGGGGAAAAAATCCCAAGTTACACATGTTTTTAAAAAAAATTCTCAAAATACAAACGTTATGAAAATAATTCCCAATCTACGTTAGTTTGGGCCATCACCGCTGTCGACGAAGACAGTGATTGCATCACTGTTGTCGACGAAGACAGTGATTGCATCACCGCTGTCGACCAAGACAGTGATTGCATCACCGCTGTCGACGAAGACAGTGATTGCATCACTGCAGTACACGGCAGCGGTGAAGGTCTGACCTGCGTCGAAACTTTAAACAAACGTAACTTTGTGCTCGGTTATCCGATCGTAGCGAAATTTTTTTTGATTCCGCATAATTTTTCGAGATCTTGCAAGCCGCAAATTACCGTAGGCGGTTTGGTCCCTCCTTCGTCTCAAAAATATGTCGTTTGCTACCCCGAACGAGCCTTTTTTCGATTTCGTCAATCTTTGAACGACCATAACTTTGTGCTCCACAATCCGAAAATCATGAATTTTTTTTTATTTCGCATAACTTTTTAAGGACTACAATTTTTACATAGACATATTTTCGGAATGTACTTGGATTCCTGAAAAGGAAGGTAAAGTTATTCCCAAAATCCCTTATATCCATAAATAATTCATTTTTTGAAAATTCTCTCCTACTAAATATTGTAGTCCTTAAAAATTTATGCGAAATCAAAAAAAAATTCATGATTTTCGGATTGTGGAGCACAAAGTTATGGTCGTTCAAAGTTTGACGAAATCGAAAAAAGGTTCGTTCGAAGTAGCAAACGACATATTTTCGAGACGAAGGCGGGACCAGACCGCCTACGGCAATTTGCGGCTTGCAAGATCTCGAAAAATTATGCGGAATCAAAAAAAAATTCGCTACGATAGGATAACCGAGCACAAAGTTACGTTTGTTTAAAGTTTCGACGCAAGTCAGGCCTTCACCGCGGCCGTGTACTGCAGTGATGCAATCACTGTCTTCGTCGACAGCGGTGATGCAATCACTGTCTTCGTCGACAGCGGTGATGCAATCACTGTCTTCGTCGACAACAGTGATGCAATCACTGTCTTCGTCTACAGCGGTGATGGCCCAAACTAACGTAGATTGGGAATTATTTTCATAACGTTTGTATTTTGAAATTTTTTTTTAAAAACATGTGTAACTTGGGATTTTTTCCTCTTTCTGATCAGTATAAGCCAAGATGCATCTTCTGAAAATAGTTTCTACAGGAACGTTACATTGGTTGTCTGCTTTAACGTGTATATGAAATTGATTTTGCTGTTGTATATATCAGGACGTTCGTGCTTTCTCCTGCTGAGCAAATCACAGAACATTCAACACTTCACACATCTAATCAAGAATACCAAACGACACTAGTAAGATCCAATGTACTAGTTACGACTTGGCAAAACCAACTCAAACCGAACATCGATTTAAACAAGCCACATGAAAATTCAACTTTCCGTCTGACCCATAATACTTACTAACAATTAAAAGCAATTAATATGATCCCATATTAAGAGTAACGTAACGGATATTAAGGTATTGACAATGCCACAAAATCATCATATCTCACAGGGGGTGGTAAAACCCCTCTCCTCTGGAGTGTTATCACAACTACAAACCGTATTAAGGGAAACAAACGTACTGGCTATAACAGAATCATCAAGCCCCCGGTAAGTAACAAACACTACCACTCTGAAATATATCTAATGCATGGAGAATGCGCCACAGAGATCGAACTCACTATATCCATCAGCCGATGTTCACCAAATAAAGAAAACGAAGGAGCCCGCATCATATGTGTATGTTCAACCTTCTTGCACCAGCCAGGGTATCACCTGTCACAAACAAAGACGATCAAGTTGTTGAATACAGGAGAACTTCCAACCAGACAAGTCTTTCAGAAGCAATAGCCGACTCACCTTGTAAGACGACAAAATTGTTTTAAGCTGAAACTGCAGGAAGTTTCATAACTTTGCCAACCGCAATCGTCTTCCCTGCAAGTGAAAAGGTTCATTTCAGACCCAAGCCAGTAAACACCAAGCTAACAAAACTTTCAGTACCTGAGGCCAATCAGTGAATCCACTTACCCTCAGTTCGAAGAGTGAATCTGCCCAGTTGAGGAAAATCTGAGAAAAGTTCTACACATATCAAGCTATTCACCTGTCGAGGGTGATGGAAAAGATGATTATCAAAATATGCTTCTCATATCGAAGGACAGAGTACAACGCCATCAACAGGCCATTCCGAAAATAATGGAAATAGGTCCAAGGAACAACAAAGAGGACATTTCAGATCTTTCCAACCCAGTAAAACTTGCAGATCGACTTTCATGGAATACTTACCTGAATACGGCACTTGACGACTGCACCATTCTTCACAAAAAGGGGCCTCTTCTTCATGGCTTTCCTAGTCTTCGGATCTATTTGTTCGATTAGCTCAGTGATCTCACATTCTTCAACAACTGAATGGATGTGCAGAACAGCTTTGTAACCAGCTGTAAAAATTGCCTACAGCAGAAAATGCATACATGATGCTCCAGATACCATGAACAACAGTAAGTAAATAGAGAGCAGGGAGACCAGCATACATTATCCAGCAGCTCAAGGATCTGCAACTGAGCTACGAACTCCGTAACTCCAAAAATAGGTTTTGCTGCACAAAGAGCCGGGTGTTACACAAAATAACAGAAGCACGACGAAATCTTACATGCTGCACCTACACATCAAAACTAAGACTGTTAACTAATTCTCAAAAATCAACTAAGTTCAATCAATAGTAATCATTCCCAAAAATGATAATCATTGTTAAAAAGTACAATCTCGCAAAAGCAAACAAAGGACAAAATATCGTCTGATATAATTTATGGATCCCATGTTACTCAAATCAAATCCACAAGTCGTTCTATTATTGAGGGCGAGTACATTCCGCTACTAGCCATGAAATTAAAGTGCGATATGGTTATCTTACCAACACTGGACAATACAAAACCAGCTAATATATCTTCATCATCGATTCCAGATAATCTAACCCGTAGATTCTCCCCAGGCCCTGCACGTCTGACCTTATTGTCGTCGATGTATACTCCAACAACTTTCACATGAGTCTGCAAGAGGGTTAAACTTACAATCAAAATTCTCAACCAAGAAGAGAGGAGCATCTACACAGATACAAAGGGCTCAAGAATACAAACCTTATTAGGCATCACTAACAAGGAGTCGCCCTCGGTCACAGTACCAGATTCCACTTTTCCCATAACAACAGTTCCCATGTCTTTAAATTTATCAATGATGGGCATCCTAAGTCAAAATAATTGCAATAGATTCAGTACATGATTTAAGGAAGAAAAATCAATTATTAAAAAGTGGAAGCGATCCACTGGATTGCAGCTAGTGTAAAATACACAATTCTATAAGGAGACCGGGTAAGGTCACAACGAGAACATTCCGCCTAAACTTAAATCATTTCGATAACTGGATAGTGACAGAAAACATGTCCATGTTTATGAGGAGAAACATCAGTTGAATGTGTATATCTCTGAAGTCATAAGTCAATTGAATTGACATCCAATGCAGAACACACAACAGATTAAGTAGACATACAGACATACCGGAAATGTAGCGGTGAACTAACAATGCAGATCAACGTCATAGGAGAAAACAAAGTCAACAAAAGTAACATACCATACCTAAAAGGACCATTAGGATCTCGAGGAGGAACTTCAATGGAATCAAGAGCTTCAAAGAGACATGGGCCGGTCCACCATGAACAGATGCTTTTATCCATTCTAGTTTTTATGTTTGCGCCTATCAGACCAGATATCGGTAGGAACACGACATCTGCAAAGGAAACCAGGATCAAACTCCATATATGCAAGCCCCACTTAGTTACAAGTTCTTTTATTTCTTATTTTTTTTTATAATTAAAGAAGCACAGAAGCAAATTACCCAAGCCTCACATCATCCCACAGAAGTCCGTGTACAGTCAATCAAGAGCATAATAATTAATAACAAGTAGAACATCACAAATTATTATTGAGCCCAAAAGAGCGTTTAATTTTTCTAGCACCTTGACACCCAGCAACAGACACATCAAGACAATCAAATAATATCCAAGTGGACCAGAAGAATTTAATACCTTTCTTCACATTGTAACCAGAAGATTTGAGGAATGGTACCATCTTCGATTCAATTTCAGCATACCTAATAAACGATGAAGAAGACCAGAGTAACCAAAACACATTATTTAATCTTGAATAGCAAACCACACCAAGGATGCAGCAAGCACAGGGAAACAGTATTAAAAAAAAACCAAGAGCCACCTTTCGTTTGACCAATTTACAGTGGGATCATCCATTTTGTTGACAACGACAAGCAGCTTAGAGACACCCAAGGTCTTTGCAAGCTGAACGTGTTCACGAGTCTGGCCACCTCTCTCATATCCAGTTTCAAATTCACCTTTCCGTGCAGAAATTACCTAAGCAAATGAAATAAGGTTTCAACTAACTTTAATATTACGGCGCTCACAACTGAAAGTGAAACAGATTTGCGGTCAACACTTACAAGAACCCCAATGTCAGCTTGAGATGCTCCACTTATCATATTTGGAACATAACTCTTGTGGCCCTGCATTCATTCAAAGAGCTCAAAGAAATTGTTCACTGGAGAAAGATTTAATGGTATGCAGGACAGATTTAAGATGTATAGAAAGAGAAACAAAACAACACATTGTTTCCGAGTCACTCCACCAGAGATGGGCTTTGCAGTCTTAGTTCCCGAATGAGAATTCCATGGAAGTCTGAAACTACTACTACTTCCCTAGAATCATATGCAAATATATACTATGCAAAGTTGTTAAGGAAATTGATAAGGAAGACAACTGCTCACCAAGTACCATACTAAACAGATGATTCCTTAGGAATGAATAACACAACTATTCAAGGATTGCTTAATCATGGGACTAGCTGCACTTTCATAACTATTGTTATACTTAACTAACAATTGTTTTCATGAACCATATATCTGAGACTTCTTTGAGGCAAAAACACCACTGCATGAAGCCACTGATGAATTGGTAGCACCATCACTAGTAATCTCTACATTCTTATTTAGTCAGTTTTCAAACTGCTTTCTGAAGAACTTGCCAACACAAGACCACTTCCATAACTATCCTACTCAGAGTAATGAATGTAGTCACCACATGTGACTGAGGCTTCTTTGATGGAACAACATTTAGTGCAAGGAGACACGGATAGATTGGTGGTGGCAGATCAATCAGCAACATGGCATCGTGAGTGATTGAAGATTCCTGTGTGGTAAGTTTTTAAGCTTCTTCCGACAGCACTTGGCAACACAAGACCATACTATCAATAGGTAGCATATTTGCAATGAACAAAACCATAATACTCCCAGGCACCAGCCGACCAAGCTAACTTTAATTTCAGTAGATATAGACAAGATACAAGCAACATTCACTCACCGGCGCGTCTAAAATGGTGAATCTCGACGTCTCTGTTTCAAAATGAGCTCTTCCAACTTCAACAGTTTTTCCCTACAGTAAACAACACGTGACAGACATATTAGCAAGACCAAGAAATTGATGGGAAAATACAGGAAAGCATAGCCAAGCAACATCTCAGGGATCTGATTCAGCGAGAAGCCGTTCTCAGAACAAACCTTGAGTCTCTCTTCTTCATTGGTATCCATGATATAAGCCATATACCTGTAAATGAGGACCAATTATTAATGGGTGACACTAGGATGAATAAAACTAAGCATCCTGATAATTGCAATCAAAATCTGCTCGATTGACTAACATCTTAAGTCGGGGATATAGCATACTAACGACCACAAGTCTCTTCAATTCAGAGATAGCTTCAATCATATGGAGCAACTAAGTAAATAAAATAAAAAGACTGCATTTCATTTAGTAAAGCCAACAAAGAACATAATATTGTTTACTGTCAATCCATTCGAGAACCGGTATGTACCAGCTTTCTCTACTTTTATCCTTCGCTTCTTTTTCATACTTCTGAATTGTACGGTCATCAACCTGACCGCTGAGGAACAGTATCTGCCCCCCTGTGGTGGACTTGCCAGCATCTGCAAACCCAAAGTAAAATTATCTTAGAACATCAAAAACAAATAAGGAAATTAGAAACAACTATACTAATATTTGAGAAAGCAAAAAATTTGAAAATAAACAATGAGATAATAAAACAGAAAATGAATAGAGCATCCCTCGAGATACTGCTGGAGCTGAGACCTGGCTATGAATTTTAATGAAAGGACCAATATCCAAAGCCAGCTTACCAACATGTCCAATAAAAACAACATTAAGATGGCGCTTCTTATTCCCCACTTCCTCCTTAGATGGCTCTTCCACTTCTGGTGCACGTACTTCCTTGTGTGACACTGCATAACCAATCTCGATAAGTAGAGAAATAGAAATTTATTATAAAACCAGAAAATACAGGCAGCAGTGTCCCATTAGACCTTCTGCTTCAGCTTGCTGCACCTCCTCACTGCTCACAGTAGTGTTGGGTTTTGAATCTACCAATATTTAAACCAAAACCAATAAGGAGACCAATTCATACAGCACCATGCACAATTAATACTCTACTAAACCAGTTAACAAACAAGCCACCAGGTTATTTATCAACTTTCTCCAGGACGTCCAAGAGTTTGTTGTTTGAATCAACAACAAAAAGTAAGTTCGAGAGAGGCAAACTTAAGATATATCAAACTTAAATGTCACAAAAAGAAACACTTATACACTAGGTGTTATTCCCACGGTCAATAGAGCAATGTATTTCCATCAACCAAATAACATAAAATACTTATTGCAACCAGCCGAAAATGTCCCCTACAACATCTAAAAGAATCCAAACTGCAAACAACCAGGGTCATACATGAAAAAATGAACCATATGGAGATTACTGCTCCGCTGTCTCCTAGTCTACAAGTGAAGGATTAGTTCATAAGGATGCACTCTCACATAAGTTGCACACATGAAAAATAGAGACCCAGGGACATCTGCCTTATTTACCGACAAGCTGTAAGGACTTGAAGGACCAAAAAATACATGCTCATACATGATGTTGCATGATTTAGCAATGTAGAACTAAATGGCTTGCAACACACCAACTGAATGGCTTGCAACATAATAACCAACTACATGGCATGGAACGCATTCCAGACCACTTACTAGTGTCTTAGTAATTCTTTACTCACAAGGGTTGCGCCTAGGCGAATTCAATACGACAATCTTTCCCAAAATTGCATTATATGCAGGCAGAAGCACATGTGTGAGAAAAGGCAAAAATAACAAAAAATGAGTCCAATTGCTACAATCATGCCTACACCACCAACCTTCATCCATTTTATCCACCTCTTCAACCTGTTCAAGCTGTGCATCTTCTGGATTTATGGCCCCGTTATTCTCTTCTACACATTATTCAATGTAACAGCATACAGCGTAAGAAGTGAATCCAAAACTTAACACATGACGCATATAAAAGACGGATAGTGTATACATTACGATTACCACCTGCAGAATCAAGCTGCAATGCACGGATATCTTCTTCAATATCTATCGACAAACACCACAAGAGCAGAAGTAGACAAACGTTAAGACCCACCACCAAGTTAGCATAAGACAGTGTCGTCCAATGAAACAATAACAGCACTGGAACTAGGCAATGAATCCATAAAACATAAGAACTCCAAGTGAATCAATTACTGCAAATTCTCACCGAAACAAAACCAAAATATTTCACCAATAATCCGCCAAACCAATCCTAACCTGCTACCTACCGTCATAGCACTCATCCCAGCGCAAACACAGCACGACGAACAAAAATTCACTGAGTTCCTACGGAATAAACCCGACCGGAGGAAGATGAACATCGAGCGATGATAAAACAAGAACAATTTCACAAACTCTCAGCTATAACTACGAGACAATCAGATCGAAAGCAGAGAGACGAGCAAGCACGCAATCAGCAAGATCCGCTGAAACACACAGAAATAGAAGCAACGAGCATCGAAGAACTTCTTCAACAACGTATAAAAGAGAGAAGAGCAGAATCCATTAACGCGATAAGTGATTGCAGATTGCGAAGGCCTACCCATTGCGCGGAGATACTAGGGTTTTTGGAGGGAGAGAGCGAACTGGAGAAGCCGAGCAGAGAAAATAGAGGGAGGAGGGGGGGCGGTGCTGTGGATTCTGTCTGTGACTACTTCGCGTGCAGGCTGAGAAGGTCTGTCCGGCTGAAGGCTTTTATAGAAGGGTAGGATGGTCCAAAAGCTGGTAATCGGTCGGTATCCGGTATACCGGATAACACTGTGTACCAACCGAATACCGATACCGAATGTTATCCGGTATACCGAATACCGAATAGTCGGTATCCGGTATTAATACCAGTATACCGAATACCGGTTAATGCATTGAGTTATCTTTTCGAGCCGGTATACCGACTTAATACCAATACCGAGTGGGCTGATTTGGACTTTTTGTTCTTTTTATTTTTATGAATGTTGTTTAATTAAATGATGTAAATAATTTTGTTTGTTTATTTATTATTACTATATTGTATTGCTATCTTCTAGCAAGTTTTATTAATCAACAATTCACTATTAGTTAATAGTAATAAGTAATTAGTTAATTAGTTGTTTATCTAATAGACCCTTACAGCTTACAAGTACATCTCACTTATAATGAACGATTTACCAATAGTCCAATACTCCATTAGGCAATGACATTGTTAATGTCAACTACATTCTACACAAGTAGTTAGTAGATAAATATAGCATTACTACTACATAAGTACATAGTCTCAAACATGAAATAGTTCACAAATTCCATCATCCAACAATCAACAATTCAACATAGTCTCACTCTCACAACATAAGTTACACTTACAAGTTCCAACTTAAAATAAAATTCTCCAACATAAAGATAGCATAACTACACCACTAAGATTGACCACTAGCTCCTCCATCGCTAATATGGCGCGAACCGCCAACATCGGCACAACCTTGCTTCTTCAAAGTGTTGAGAAGAACATCATTATCATCCTCCGCTTCATCCTCTTCTTCTTCTTCTTCTTCTCCATCACCATCCTCCTCCTCAACCACAATGGGTATATTACTTGGCATATCACCTACACTTTCCATTCGAGCTGACTAAATTTAAGGGGAAAAAACAAATTGTTAGAATTCATCAATTATCTTGGAAATAAAGTGAGTGAATAACTAAAAACAAATAAGAATTATTACCTCTTTCATAATCAATCTGTTCTTGATCTTCTTCTTTATCATCAACTTGGCCTGAATTCACATTAGTCCTAGTAACACCAGTAAAAGGTGTCTTTTTGGAAGTGTCGCCTTTTTTAGAAGTGGAACGAGGAGGAAGGGATCCACCCTTCGAATTACCTCCTCCACGAGAACGACCACGAGAGGGTTTTGTCCTACAAAAGTATAACAATTTGACTTTGATATGTTAATAAAAAATAAAAACCAAATGCTCCAATCTACCAAAAGAAAAGACATATGAATATATGATCAAACTCAAGCATAAACAAACACAAACAAAAAGCAGTAAACCATTACATAAATCACGGCATCACTAATGTCTAATAAGCAACCTCCAACCCCTTGATTCTTTACTTCTTCCCTCTGTTCCAACCCCAACTTCCCCCTCTCTACTCTAAAGTCTAACCCTTGATTCTTTACTTCTTCCCCATCCCCTTCTCTCGCACTCCTCCACTTTCCACCCTCAATTCAAAATAACAATCAAAATTCACAATATCATCTAAGTCATCTAATTCACACATGCTACTTCTTACATGCTACTTGATAGCTGATGCTGCTTCTTCTAGTTATTCGTGTTGATTGTTGAGACTTGAGAGTTGCCTGCTGTTATACCCTCGAGAAAGAGCTTATTACCTTCGTCTATTCACCAAAATCAACAAAACAAAGTTAGCAAATCAGTAGGGGAGGGAATCATCATCAATGGTGGCTGGAAAATGGAATCATCAACTGAGAATGGGGAGGAAATGGGAATCATTACCTATTTACCTCCTTTAATTACCAGCAGACAGCAGTCTCTGCCCTCGAGAAGAGAAGAGGAAGGCAGACACGAGGAGTCGGGAACTGCTGCTGCCCCTGCCTGCTGACCAATGGCGAACTGAAGAGAAGAGGAAGATAGGGCTCGGCGCTGGCGAGTCGCGACTGCTGCTGGCGACGAGGAACACAGACGACGCGTGGTGGTGGAGCACGGCGTCGCGGCAAGCTCGCTGCCAGCGCTGGGTTTTGAGATTTTCGCCTTCCCACTTCCGACCTTCGGCGCAGGGTGCAGGGACTCGCCGGCCGCCGCTGGCAAAGAGGTGGAGGGAGAGGAACAGAATCGTGGTGGTGAATCGACGAGGCGCAGGGTGCAGGGACTGGCGGCTGGGTTTCGACTTCTGAGGAGGCGGATGGAGAGGAACAGAGACGACAGACGAGGTGGAGGCGGGAGGGCGGGCCGCGGGGATCGATTTGCAAAAGCCATTTAGGGTTTCCCTTCCCCAATTCCGCTACCGCGCTGCCGTTTTCCTCTTCTTTTTTTTTTTTTGTAATTCGGTATTCGGTATACCGATTTACCGTCGGTATATAACCAATCGGTATTCGGTATACCGTTTTTCCGAAAATTGAAGCCGAATACCGATTGTGATCGGTTCGATACCCAGTTATACCGAATACCGGTTTACCGAATACCAGCCCTACTAAAATGGAGTGGTGTTTCGCTAGTGTTGTTGGCTTGTTGGCTGTTGCACAGAGCAGGGGAGAAATGGGTCGCGTACTCGCGTACCACTTATGTGTGGTTTTAGGTGAAGCCATACCACTTAAGTTCAATTAAAATGCGTATGTTAATATTTTCATCCAGCCCATTAATAAAATGAATTAAATATTATTTTTTTGACACATCATCCTTATCAGAATATATTGGAATTGCTGAGTCACTTATGAAGGGAATATTTGGCGCCAAAAAGTTATCTTTCCACACTAAACTCCTATCAAAACTTCCTCCTTTCAACAACCTCTTTCTTCACTTTTTGCCTCTTCTCCTCGTCTCCACCATTAAAAATCTCATGTTTGCTTCTTCTTTTCCCATTAAAAGTTCATACGTTCTCAATTAACTTAGTTTTTTCTCTCCCATTATTTTTTCTTCTCTCCCGGTTCTTTATGAATGTATATTTATTTTCAGTTTTTAAGTCATTTCGGTAAGTATTATCATATAGTTTGCATTATCCTCTGCTTTGTTTGATTTAGATGTTTGCATGTCTCAACTAAGTTAATGAAGTATGGCTTGATTCTTGCCACCTAATATACACAAAGTGATAGATGCAGTTGGCTGCAAAAAGTATTTCTTACAAAATAAAAGTTGGTAAATGGCTATTATAAACCAATTTACACCTTTTCAGGAGCATTCCTCCACAAAATATCAAGCCAAAGTTTGCTGGAAAACAACTTAAATATAACTAAGAAACTCATCACGATGTCCATCTTTTTCATCCCATTATATGATGTCCCCTGCCCTTCCATGAATTTCATTCCCCTTCCAATTGACATGTCGCTTTCCTCTGCATTTCCTTCAACCTGGAGATGATATTGGGAGAAATAATATCGATTATTTTACTTTATAGTTAACCAAATAGAGTAGAAAAATCATGTTAGAAAACTTACAACAGTTGTTGGTGAATAGTTTTTGTTGTCATTTCCAACTCCAGATGGTGTTAGTGGATTAAGGATGCGAGTTGCCAGTTCTGCCAAGGTTGTGTTTCGACCTTCTGTGTTATTAATCCTTTCCCCATAATACCATTTATCACCCTCATTTTGCATCATTGCACCATTTCCATCATCCCCCCCCAACAATACTTAATTCTCCCGTTGACGATTGTGGTCCGAATGATGTACGCCCTTGCTCATTTCTGTGAGCAGATTTGTTGTGACCCTCTAAGCCACATTGACTACAGTGGATTTTCCCCCTCTTCTTACTCTATCTAGCATTGATGGACTTGTATTTTCTTGCCCTCTTCTCTTTGTCCTCCAAGATTTTCTCCCTGCCCTTTCTCCTACTGATCTGAGCCTAATTGCACATGTTTTGCCCTCCGTTTTACTTAGATGTTTGTGCCAAATTCGCTCCTTAAAGGTCAATTTGCGCTAGGTTCTTCGTGTTTGAGTGTGTTTCAGGATTTAACAGGTGAAACCAGCCTCAGAGTCGAAAGATTGGCGAAAAGGATCAAAAACCGGGAGAAGAGGTGAAAAAGAGCCAGTTCACGGCTAACTAAAGGAGTTCACGGTCATGCAAAACCGTGAAGAAGGGGAGTTGACCGTGAATCGCGAGGCGTCCAGAGCCAATGTGAAGGTTACTGACGCGAGGTGAGTTCACGGTCACTAAGATCGTGAACACAGGCAGTTGATCGTGAGCAGACGTGAGCGATGCGAAGCGTTTTGGCGCACGCCTTGAGTTCACCGACGCGTTTGATTGTTCACAGTCGTGAACTCAGCTCTTCTCGGGTTTAAAAGCTGAGCTAAAAGGAGGAGAGAGGGGAGAGCCCACTTTTGTGTGAAACACCTTCTTCAGCATTCTAGTGAGAGAAACAGAACCAAAGGGAAAAAGAAGGTTAGGGTTTGGCTTCAAGGTAGATTTTGAGAAGATTTCCCCAAGGAAAGCTCAACTCGAGGGTCAAAGAAGAGAGGAAGCATCCTCAAAGATGATTTCCACCTTTTTCCCATTTGTTCTTCTCAGTTCTAGCATGGAGTAGACCTCCTTTTACTTGGGTATAGTGAAACCCTAACTCTATCATGTAGTTTTCTTGTATGTGTTTTCGATGATTGTCATTGGGTATTGTTCAACTCAATGATTGAGGCATTATTCACCATGACTGTACATGCTTGTGCTTAGCAACTTAGGGGTTGTGCATGTTTTGTTCTTAACATCCTTAGGTTTGTTCATTTAGGTGCTTAGCAACCTAGAGATTGTGCATAATTGTGCTTAGCACCCCTAAGTTTGTGCATTTAGGTGCTAGTAATCTAATTTGCCACCTTAGTCTAGTTTAGAGAGGAAAATCCCCCTTTCAAGGGAGACTCAATCGAGTTGGTTTTCCTTCCGCTTTCTAAGCCACCTAAACTAGGTTGAGTTAGGGCAACCCTCAATATTGAGTTAAACAAGTCGATTAATCGTGATTAAACCGTACGACCATAGAGTTGAGTGAGGGA